GGAAACATGTGGTGGCCGTGGGAAACATGTGGTGGCCGTGGGAAACATGTGGCGGTCGTGGGAAACCTGAGGCGGCCGTGGGAAACCTGAGGCGGCCGTGGGAAACCTGAGGCGGCCGTGGGAAACATGTGGCGGCCGTGGGAAACCTGAGGCGGCCGTGGGAAACATGTGGCGGCCGTGGGAAACCTGAGGCGGCCGTGGGAAACATGTGGTGGCCGTGGGAAACATGTGGCGGCCGTGGGAAACCTGAGGCGGCCGTGGGAAACCTGAGGCGGCCGTGGGAAACATGTGGCGGCCGTGGGAAACCTGAGGCGGCCGTGGGAAACCTGAGGCGGCCGTGGGAAACATGTGGCGGCCGTGGGAAACCTGTGGCGGCCGTGGGAAACCTGAGGCGGCCGTGGGAAACCTGAGGCGGCCGTGGGAAACATGTGGTGGCCGTGGGAAGCAACATCGCGTGTGTGAATTATTTTTTTCGGAGGTTACAATTATTTCTTTGCTCATCCCAGTTGCTTTGCGCATCATGCCTTGGACCTAATGATGATGCTCAACCTCTGTAATTTAATATGCTAAAAAAACCACCGAGTATTTTATTTAATTAAAATACCAGTGTTGCAGCTCGTTCAGTAATTGCCGTATTTTGACGACGATATTACCATTTCCAGGCTGAGAGGGTGAGGGGGGGGTATGGCATGTGGAAAAGGGGTGGGGGGGGGTATGGCATGTGGAAAAGGGGTGGGGGGGGGGGTGAGCGCCTGGTTCCTGCAATATAAAAAAACCTGTTGATTTTCCTTGGGGTCTGAATTTCACCAAATGACTGATGAGTTTTTCAAGGTATTTTGGTTATTTCTGGCTCACGCTCGTGGGGGCAGGGGGGGGAGGGGGGTGTATTGACTACTTGTGCATGCTGGATCGAGGTGTTAGCTCTTGGACCCCGTCTTTGTAATTGCCGGGTATGAAATGTACTGACTCCCGACCTGTTTTTCTCAGTAATATCTACTATAGATATATATATTTTTCTCTCTCTTACACTGACACACTAGCACACTCACACACACACACACACACACACACACACACACACACACACACACACACACACACACACACACACACACACTCAATCACGGAAAGATTGACTGGGAGAACAAGGAACCGCATGGAGGCGAGGATACGTGGAGAGCCAAACTATTGGAGGTGGTGACAAGCAACTTTTTAACCCAGCATGTCGGAGAACCCACAAGGATGAGAGGCAATGACGAACCAGCGAGACTCGACCTAGTCTTCACTCTGAACGACTCCGACATAAGAGAAATCGGTTTTGAGGACCCAGTAGGAATGAGCGACCACAGTGTACTGGTGTTTGAGTACTTGATTGAAGAAGGGTTATTGAACTCGAGGAGGGATACCGAAACCAAAAGGTTAGCATACCGAAAGGGAAACTATGAGGGGATAAGAAAATTCCTAACAGATATAGCATGGGAAACAGAGCTCAGGGGAAAGGCGGCCCAAGATATGATGGATTACATCACGCAGAAGTGCAAGGACGCAGCAAACAAGTTTGTCCCAGTCCAAAAGGAAAACAGAGAAATGAAGATGAGAAACCCATGGTTTAATCAGAGATGTAGGCTAGCTAAGCAGCAAAGTAAAAGGGCATGGAGAAACTATAGGAATAACAGGACTCTGGAGAGCAGAGAAAGATACCAGAATGCCAGGAATGAATACGTCAGGATGAGAAGAGAGGCAGAAAGACAATACGAAAATGACATCGCAAGCAAGGCAAAGACTCAGCCTAAATTGTTGCATAGCCACATTAGGAGGAAAACAAGAGTAAAGGAACAGGTTGTGAGATTAAGGATAGGGGCGGAAGGATTCACTACAAATGACAAGGAAGTGTGTGAGGAATTGAATAAGAAATTCCAGGAGGTCTTCACCTTAGAGCAAGGAGAAATTCCAGAGGTAAGTGAGGGAATAGCTAACCAGGAACCACTGGAAGAGTTTGAGATTACCAGTGGGGAAGTAAGGAAGTGTTTACTAGAGTTGGACGTGACGAAGGCTATAGGCCCAGATGGAATATCCCCTTGGGTTCTAAAGGAAGGAGCAAGAGAACTGTGCCTACCACTCTCCATAGTGTATAACAAATCACTGGCAACAGGGGAACTGCCAGATATTTGGAAAGCAGCTAACGTAGTCCCGATAAACAAGAAAGGGGATAGACAGGAGGCACTGAACTACAGGCCAGTGTCCCTAACCTGCATGCCATGCAAGCTGATGGAGAAGATTGTGCGAAAAAAACTAGTGGAGCATCTGGAGCGAAGGAACTTTGTAACACAGCATCAACATGGATTCAGGGATGGCCGGTCCTGCCTCACAGGGTTACTTGAATTCTACGACCAGGCAACAAAAATAAGGCAAGAAAGAGAAGGGTGGGCAGACTGCATATTTTTGGATTGTCAGAAAGCCTTTGATACAGTGCCACACAAGAGGCTAGTGCGAAAGTTGGAGATGCAGGCTGGAGTGAGAGGGAAGGTACTCCGGTGGATAGAGGAGTACCTAAGCAACAGGAGACAACGAGTCTGTGTGAGGGGTGAGGTCTCAGATTGGCGAGACGTCACAAGTGGAGTCCCGCAGGGGTCAGTCCTTGGACCTATACTGTTTCTGGTATATGTAAATGATCTCCCAGAGGGTATAGATTCGTTCCTCTCAATGTTTGCCGACGATGCAAAAATTATGAGGAGGATTGAAACAGAGGATGATAGTAGGAGGCTACAAGATGACCTGGATAGACTGAGTGAATGGTCCAACAAATGGCTGTTGAAGTTCAACCCGAGTAAATGCAAAGTAATGAAACTAGGCAGTGGAAACAGGAGGCCAGGCACAGGATACAGAATAGGAGATGAAGTATTTAATGAAACAGACAGAGAGAAAGATCTAGGAGTTGATATCACACCAAACCTGTCTCCTGAAGCCCACATAAAGAGAATAACGTCTGCGGCATATGCGAGGCTGGCTAACATCAGAACGGCGTTCAGGAACCTGTGTAAGGAATCATTCAGAATCTTGTACACCACATATGTAAGACCAATCCTGGAGTATGCGGCCCCAGCATGGAGCCCGTACCTTGTCAAGCACAAGACGAAGCTGGAAAAAGTCCAAAGGTATGCTACTAGACTAGTCCCAGAACTAAGAGGCATGAGTTATGAGGAAAGGCTGCGGGAAATGCACCTTACGACACTGGAAGACAGAAGAGTAAGGGAGGACATGATCACAACCTACAAAATCCTCAGGGGAATCGACCGGGTAAACAAGGATGAACTATTCAACACTGGTGGGACGCGAACAAGGGGACACAGGTGGAAGCTGAGTACCCAAATGAGCCACAGAGACGTTAGAAAGAACTTTTTCAGTGTCAGAGTAGTTAGTAAATGGAATGCACTAGGAAGTGATGTGGTGGAGGCTGACTCCATACACAGTTTCAAATGTAGATATGATAGAGCCCAGTAGTCTCAAGAATCCGTACACCATTTGATTGACAGTTGAGAGGCGGGACCACAGAGCCAAAGCTCAATCCCCGTAATGACATGTAGATGAGTACAACTAGGTGAGTACACATACATCCCCATGATGTAACCCGCAATCCGCAACTCTCAGGTACCTGTTTACTGCTAGGTGAACAGAGGCATCAGGTGAAAGAAATTCTTCCCATTCGTCTTGATTGGTAATCGAACCGGGAAAAAAGACTATGAATCCCGAACGCTGTCCTCTGGGCCACTAGACGGACATTAATGTGCGCGCGTGCATGCGGGCGCGGGACCGCACGTGTTTCCTTATAATTATCATTAGTATCTAGAGAATTGGTTTAGTGTAGGGCTTAACGCCTGTCAACCTCTGGAGGGTTGTTAAGGCGGCGGCATTACTTGACTGACCAACCAGCAAGTGTGCTTTAGTCGTGAACGCAGTCAGGAACTAAAAGTAAACTCCTAGTAAATTATCATACAGCAGTGAGAAGCGGAGTATACACCTCTCAGTGTGTATATATATATATATATATATATATATATATATATATATATATATATATATATATATATATATATATATATATATATATATATATATATATTTTTATATTTATCGAGAAACGGAGTAACATTCTTGTAAAGTTGTCGCTGCCCATTTAAATTTCCATTTTCAGAATGAATGAATGCACAAATGGGATGTTTTATGTTCATAATGGCTGGAGAGATTGTAAACCAAAAAAACTTTAGGTTGCAGGCTTTGTTTTGTTTCTCATTACGGAAATGTTTAACTATGGAAAGATAGTGATAGAGAGAGTGAGAGAGAGACAGAGAGAGAGAGAGTGAAAAAGAGAAAGATAGTGATAGAGAGAGAGAGAGAGAGAGAGAGAGAGAGAGAGAGAGAGAGAGAGAGAGAGAGAGAGAGAGAGAGAGAGAGAGAGAGTGAAAAAGAGAAAGATACTGATAGAGAGAGAGAGAGAGAGCGAGAGCGAGCGAGCAGATAAAGCATGTTTCAGTCTTCTCTACTGGAGTGGCATAAAGTTTAACTGGGCCTCGCGCGGTATCAACATTCATCAACAATGAACGATAAAAAGCCCGGGTTTATCTCTGTGCTGGAGGACTGATTAATCTACGCACACACCAATACACTCGTTACCCAAATATACTGACCGAAAAAAACGTTGGTCTTTTGGCGTTAATACTTGGCTGTAATGAAAACGGGAAGAGAACGCCTGAAGAACTGTGAGTTGGCAAACTCATGAAATCCTGATTTATAATCTTTTTATCCTTCGTTTCTAAAGGGAAAGTTGTTGGTGTGAATTTTTGTTTAGGGTTTCAATAGTTAATTAATGCAGGAGGGGGAAAGGTTCACGTTTTAAGTTAATAAAATCATTAGGCCAAAAATTCTGAAAATAATCTGGAAAGCAATGTATTGACAACCGTTGGTGCGGAGTGTGGGAGGCTGGCCGTAATCCGGGTTAGAACATGTCGTCTGGACCCTCCAAGATGCCGTCTGGAACCTCCAAGATGCCGTCTGGAACCTCCAAGATGCCGTCTGGAACCTCCAAGATGCCGTCTGGAACCTCCATGATGCCGTCTGGACCCTCGAAGATGCCGTCTGCAACCTTCAAGATGCCGTCTGGAACCTCCATGATGCCGTCTGGACCCTCGAAGATGCCGTCTGCAACCTTCAAGATGCCGTCTGGACCCTCCAAGATGCTGTCTGGAACCTCCAAGAAGTCGTCTGGAACCTCCAAGATGCCGTCAGGAACCTCTAAGATGTCGTCTGGAACCTCCAAGCTGCCGCCAGGAACCTCCAAGATACCGCCAGGAACCTCCAAGATGCCGCCAGGAACCTCCAAGATGCCGCCAGGAACCTCCAAGATGCCTCTAGGAACCTTCAAGATGCCACCAGGAACCTCCAAAATGCCGCCAGGAACCTCCAAGATGCCGGCAGGAACCTCCAAGATGCCTCCAGGAACCTCCAAGATGCCGCCAGGAACCTCCAAGATGCCGGCAGGAACCTCCAAGATGCCTCCAGGTACCTCCAAAATGCCGCCAGGAACCTCCAAGATGCCGGCAGGAACCTCCAAGATGCCGGCAGGAACCTCCAAGATGCCTCCAGGAACCTCCAAGATGCCACCAGGAACCTCCAAGATGCCGGCAGGAACCTCCAAGATGCCTCCAGGAACCTCCAAGATGCCACCAGGAACCTCCAAGATGCCGTCAGGAACCTCTAAGAAGTCGTCTGGAACCTCCAAGCTGCCGCCAGGAACCTCCAAGATACCGCCAGGAACCTCCAAGATGCCGCCAGGAACCTCCAAGATGCCGCCAGGAACCTCCAAGATACCGCCAGGAACCTCCAAGATGCCGCCAGGAACCTCCAAGATGCCGCCAGGAACCTCCAAGCTGCCGCCAGGAACCTCCAAGATACCGCCAGGAACCTCCAAGATGCCGCCAGGAACCTCCAAGATGCCGCCAGGAACCTCCAAGATGCCTCTAGGAACCTCCAAGATGTCACCAGGAACCTCCAAGATGCCGCCAGGAACCTCCAAGATTAAGTTTACACTCGTGTCTCCTAACTCCGTGTCAACCGGCTTGGTGTCGTAATCATATTGTCGGAGTGAGGCCTATAGTGCTCCCTTCACCGTGAGGTGGACGGTGAACTGTGTAGCAAAAGATATAAGAGTCTCGGGTTGTAGACGCAGTACTAGGGCGGAAAACAAATTGAAAAAGAGGGTAATGGAAAATGTGGAGAGGATAACTGACTCACAGGTAGTGTGGGTGTCGAGTGGGCAGGTCACGTCTGACGAGTCTATCACCGAGTCGCCAAGACAAGACAGAAGAAGACTGGGTGGATTGTATATTCTTAGACATTCAAAATGCCTTTGACACTGTCTTCCGGGTGGATTGCATATTCTTAGACTTTCTGAATGCCTTTGACACTGTCTTCCGGGTGGATTGCATATTCTTAGACTTTCTGAATGCCTTTGACACTGTCCTCCGGGTGGATTGCATATTCTTAGACTTTCTGAATGCTTTTGACACTGTCCTCCGGGTGGATTGCATATTCTTAGACTTTCTGAATGCCTTTGACACTGTCCTCCTACAATAAACTGATGCTGAAAATAATGAGGAAGCAGGATTGTCTAACTGGGAAGGTTTAAGACTTGGTATTGAGGGTACCTAATAGATAGGAAACTTCAAGGTACAGTGAAAGATGGACTGTCAGGGTGTTGTGGGGGGGATAACCGGGTTCACCAGGACTCGGTTCTTGGGCCCCCTACAAGTCATCATGAACGTGAGTGGCCTCCTCGAGGATGTAAGATGTCATATGGACAATGGTGAACAAAAGAACGAAATTGAGAATATTCAGAGATTTTCCGAGACGAGTACCAGAGATGGAAAAGTCGAGTTATGAAACCAAGTTAAATGAACCTTAACCACACCACACTTGAAAAATGACGGGTAATATGACCGCAACGTATGAAATACTGAGAGGAAAAGAAAAATATATATATAATTCCAGATTAGGGAAGGCAGGTTGATGGGATGCAGTTGGAAACTTTAAAAAAACAAATCAGTCGTAGAAACGTCAACAAATGAACACGCTTGAAGCAGAAATCAAAGAAACTCTCTCTCGGTTTACAGTTTCAAGACACAGCATGAAAATTAAGAAGTCCCGGAACACCAGCTACAATATCTAGGAAGCGCGGAGGGTGTAGGCCTAAAACTATCCCTGGCTTCTCTTAAACACATTAAAGACACACTTGCGCACGTATTCACTCACACAGATCTTGCATGTGTTACCACGAATGCATTACACGCTCTTACATGTATCCTTCCAACCCGTGTACATGTTCACTCGAGAGTTACTCGCTTGGCCTCTCGCCTTCCTCACACATTAAGGCTGTAGCGAGACGTTCTGTTGAGTCTCTATATGACAGTATGTAAATATATACGAGTAAATAACAATAAATATATTTAAATATGCATATATTTATATAAATATAGATGGGTACCACTCTGGTTGTGTTTATATACAACATGCAATACAATATTTCTCACGCCGGTGAGGTAACTATGAGGAGAATGATCTAAGCTGGTATGACTACGGAATGTTTGGGATATGAGGACGAGGAGCTGTGGTAAGAGAACGAAGTGAGAGAACTTCTCACCAACAAGTTTATTAAGTGGAATGTGTGTGAAGAGACACGTGGTAGGATGTGTCGATGGCGAGAGGGAATGTGTCATGCGTCTGCCCTCCAGCTTTAGACAGACAGACAGACAGACAGACAGACAGACAGACAGACAGACAGGCCTGGGCCTGGAAACCCTCTGCTGCACATCTTATAAAGTATCCTTGCGTGACCTTGTTCCCTGGAGGCCCTTGATAATGAGTGATACAGTAAGCACATTAACACCGTGTGCCCCCCCTGGCCTCTCCACCTCCCCCCCTTTCCTCCCTTCCTCAAGAACTGATAAGAAAAACATCACCACACAGTTTCTCATTGCGAAGTTAGAGCTCTCGCCTCCCACCAAGACTAACAAACTAATTGGGAAAGTGTTAGGAATTTCTAGCCGTGCGGCCTCGGCTTCCACGCCTCGTATGTTGATCAACCAAGTGGTAGACAAAGACGATTTAAAGTGGGGCATTTTTAGGTGTTAAGGTTGTATGTTAGTGGGTGGTGGGTGGGCTCTTAAGCCGTCTTGGGTTACCTTACTCTCAAATATGTGGTGTAACTGGATCTATATAACGTCACGCGTCGATTGTTGAGTTGCTAAATGGGAACTATGCACACCAACCGTGAAGGTGAATGTGCGTGAGTCTCATACTGTATTGTTTACTTTACTGTTAACGGTAATGAAAATATGATATGGTTATTGATAATGGAACTATTAACAGGAATATTACTAATTTAATATTACATTGATTGCACGATGTAATTGTTGTTCCTGGGTAGTAAGTGTTATTTTCTGATTTGCTTATATCGCCAAAGTGTAGAAAATGCCTATTGTTCCCCTTCAATCTTTGCTTCGTCCCCCCCCCCCCCCACCCCCAAGACAGCTTAGGGAAGACATCTTGAAGGCAGTTGAAGCCTGCCGACTCCTTATCTAGAGCTGAGACACATTGTTTCATAATTCGGCGGCCTCCACGTACCTCCCAAGACATCTTCCCTCACTTGTCTTAGGGCAAGGCCATAGTAAACTTTGAGAGGAGTAATAGCTAATTTCTATACTTTGAAGGTATAAGCAATCAAAAAACAACATTACCCAGAAAACTGGTGGTATTATTATTCTTGTAAAAACAACAGCATCATAGATAATATTAAAGCATTCCATGCGCCGCGAGTGTTCACTTGTCTGGGAAGTCAATAACCATTCTTCTAGATATGTAGCTTTTATCGACGAGTGTGGATACTGGCAACCAGGTTCACTGTGCCAGGGATAGACCCCATGCATCCTATCTCCACCCCACCACCCGACCCTCGCGCCTCTGTAAGTCATTAAGAGACGATAGTCACTGTTAGGCTGACAGGGTGCCTAGAACAGGGGTAGATTTGTCATGAAATGTCTTTTGTGGGCTTAATAGGAGTTGTTCTGCCGGGGACAGCCATTTTAGGTTCAAATACTTCATCTGTAACACATTTGTCTCCATGTAACACCTTTTCAGTATCTTCGATTTGGAAATGGTCCATGACAGCTTGAAAATGTGAGCCAGCGAAACATGTCTTTGAGCAGGGATATGCATTTTTATTGCATAGTTTATCTTTAATCGCTTGACCCAAGTTCGAGTGAGATGCAATCTGTCTGTCTCTCTTTCTCTCCTTTCCTCACGAGGAAAGCATACCACAGTATAGTGTCTTTACCATTACTTTATTCTACAGTGCATGGCACAACATTATAGACGAGTGGGGCTCATCTATACATGAAGCGTCTATACGTACATGAAGTGAAGCATCATGTACGTGGCTGACATGCGATTTCATGCGTACCTTGAGGTATGTCAGTTGCCGATCCAAGGTTGCACATGTCGTCGGTGTTCACCTGGACCCAGACCTGTTTCTTAATTGGGAAAAGAAATCTTTGTAAGGACGAGTAACGTTTTTTTGGACTGAGCTTTAAAAGTGTCTAACAATGTGTAAGACATCCCTGCTCCCTCATCCCTGCTCCTTTATCTCTACGTGGCACAGATCTTCTAGACTCTGCAGACTAGACTCAAGAGTGTTGTTCTTTACCACATAAGGTGCGGACGGACTTACTCGTCTCTTGTACAAGGTCTTGGTGTTGTTGAATCTGAAGTATGTACGTGTGGCGGGTATTCGTCGGCAACTGCAGCTAGGTTGAGAACCATAGATTTTGTCCATCATGCTGACATTTGTCCAGCCATTGGTGCTTTCTGATCCTCAGTAATTCCTAGCCTGTGGGTGGATGCCTCCTGTTTTGCGACGCTAATAGGTGATTGTTGTAAAAACACGATAATCACCTTGTATGTTTGAGTGATCAGTAACCCACTGCATTATATATTGTCTAACAGATCTTTAATCGCATCCATGAAGGACAGAAGAAAATGTATATATTTTGGTTACCATTGTAAATGAATGGCCACGTCTGTGGTAGAAAATAAACTGAAAACTAACATCTGTTGGGGCCATGAGTTAATACCTTCCAATTAATTATTCAATGGCAGTCATCCAAGTCTCTCTCAGCCCTTTAGATGTAGGCATTATATAAATTGAAATATTTTCTCCTGTACACTCCTGTTAGATCAATAAGAGACTGTGGAGGATACTTGCTGGGGTGTTGTTCGAAACATCGCACATTTCGCTCTTAGCTGATGCTAAGGTCAACTCTCTTGACCAAGTTCTTTGGCTATTGTGTTTAGATCCTGTGTTTAGATCCTATCTCCATGAGGGTTCCGATCCTGTTTTTACTCACTGTTTTAAATCTCGTGCTGGAGCCGATAGTTAAGCTGTCTCTTTCCTCGTTTTGTCCCTTGTTTTGTCCCTTGATTTGTCCCTTGTTTTGTCCCTATTTTGTCTCTTGTTTTGTCCTCGTTTTGTCCCTTGTGGCAGATTCTCTGATACATTGTACAATCCTATTGCTGTACTATCTGGTATACAACTTTTTATTTGTTATTTTTTGCAATTTTATCAATTCCAGAAACCTTAGGCCTCCTTCTACAGAGGCCTTCTCCTTCCTCTTCATCACTCTAAGGCATGAAATGTTTTAATATGATTCATCATTTTTTTAAGACATTTCAGAAAGCTTGTCTTTAGCCAAGAGTGGATGCCATATAGACTTGTGATAGTGTCCAAGACATTGTTGTGTGTGGTAACGAGGGAGGTAACGAAAATATTGCCGGAACAACCGTGGACATTTTCAAGAGGAAACTAGATTTATTCCTCCAAGGAGTGCCGGACCAACCGGGCTGTGGTGGGTATGTGGGCCTGCGGGCCGCTCCAAGCAACAGCCTGGTGGACCAAACTCTCACAAGTCGAGCCTGGCCTCGGGCAGGGCTTGGGGAGTAGAAGAACTCCCAGAACCCCATCAACCAGGTATCAACCAGGTATCAACCAGGAGCTTACATGGTCCACCAAGAATGCCTC